CGCCATGCCGCCGGCTGTCAGATCGCCCTGATGCTGCGGGGCGGAGTGTCCCTCGTCCCTGCCCGGGCGCCTTCGCCTTCGGGCGGTGAGCCCGGCCCAGGGCGCCCGGGAGAGGAGGGGAGCCCCGGCCCTGCGTGGCTAGCAGAGGTCGGGGTTGGGTGCTCCGTGACCGCTCCGTGCGTGATTACAGCGGCGGGGGGGACGCGCCGGCGGGCCGGGGAGCCTGTGTGTGTGCTCGGCCGGGAGTTCTCGGCTTCTTGCGTCCCTTTGCTGGATACCGAGCTCGCAGCGTGGAAGTCAGATTACGGAGTTGGTGTGCTTCTTGGACGTCCCTGGAGATGAAACTGGGCTGAAGTTCTTGCCCTGTGTTTGGCCACGTCCTGTTTAAACTTTTTTTTTGTGGAAACCAAATTTAAATCTCTCTTATTTACTGAGTTTGGAAATCATAAACATCTCTGTGGCCAGATGTGCTCCGGGCAGTTATCAGTCGGGTGTTGTGGACTTGTGGCTAGGACGGGGCCAGGAAGTCCAGATCTCTGCTTCTGCCTTTAACTTACTGTATGACCTTGAATAAACAGCACGTACTTACATGCGTGCCAACGTTACAGTCGGTCTGTGTTTTTTCGTATGTTTCTAAAATTATGTCCTTAAGTTCACGCTTAGGTACCCAAATAAGCGGTTAGGCTTTCAAAGATACAGCTTCTTACTGATGTAAATAGCAGCAAGTAGGTTCTGTTTTGTTAGTTTGTAAAGTGCGCTTAAGTTCCTCACAAAAAAAGAATACAGAGTAATTACCAAGTGTTAGTAGTAAAATTACTTAATTATACTAAGAATGTAGCACTACTAACAAAGCTTTCCTGAGAATTGAATGCCTCGTATGTATTTATAGTACAGTGTATGCAGTTATTTTGTAGTGCGGGTTGGCTCTGTCTGTACTGCCTAGAAAGATCCTCTGTGACTTCCTTCACAGAGGAATCTTCAGGGAGATGGTACTATGCAGGAAGAGTTACCTCATTAAGCTTGTGTTTGGCTAGTTTTAAAAGTCTCAGTTTGTTTAGAAATGTGTTTGTGCATTTGAATACACAGTTGAATTCCTCTTCAGAATATATGCCTAATTTACCTTACTTTCTTTGGCAATGGTGTGTTCTGAACTAGCTCTGTACGGCGGTTTCAGTACAGGTGTAACAGATGCTTTGATTTGGCAACTAAGTTCACAATGTGTCCAACTGAAAATTTCAAAGAAGATATGGGTTTCTTAAATATAGCAACATATAGTACATGGCACACATCAGGGATTGTGAGCATCTTTATATTATATTTTTGTTGGAATTGTAATGAACAGTTGTAACGAAAAATAGACTTGGGTAAGTTGAATGTACTTTGATTAGATCATCAGTTCAGTAATACCATTTTCTGCACAAAAACAATGTCCTACAATTTCATCTCTTCTTTTTCCTCCCATGTTCAGAATTATATACAACTAATTAGACACGTGTAAATGCAGTGATATCAGCAAAACAACTTCTGTCAATTGGTGACATGTGGTATTGTTTTCAGTAGGAACAGTGATGCAGGCTCTGATTGCGAGCAGTGTCTTGGTTGGTAGAACATGCATGCTAGCGAAGGTGCTATACATCCAGGATGAAATAGTTTTTTGCTTGAATTGAGGGCTGTCAGAAATACACAATCCCCGATAATATTTGAATCTGAACTTTTTGGTTTTTAAGAAATGTCTCGAAAACAAATAAAGCGGTAATAGTCTTTCAAGGCTTTCAGAGGAACAGGAAGTTGACAGATGAAGGTTTTTAGAGAGAGGGGAACCCTGAGAAAAGTTACCAACTCTTAATTTTAAATGGTCACATTAAAGATTCTCAAAACCAAGCAATCAACTGTGATATCAGAAGTCTGAACTTTGCAGGTAAACAGAGCCATTTATTTGATTCAGTACAGTTGGATATTGAAGCAGAGATTATATTCTTCCTCTATACAGTTGAATATTGAAGCAGAGATTATATTCTTCCTCTTCCTGGATTAAGAAAACTGTGGCTTTAGAAGGGTTGGTGGTTTCATTTTTTATTCACTTTTTGTGGGGGACAGCTCATTTGTATCAAGGAGATTATGCTCTTGCACTTTCAAAGTGGTCAAACTAGTTTGTGGCATCTTTGTCCGTTGATAATAGAGCCATGTCTTCTTGTCCAGCTCTTATCTTTAGTAGTTTAGGACTGAAGCACAATCATTGTATCAAGAATACTATAAAAATAGTTAATTCCTGAATTCCTTTCTGTGTGCTTTCTTTGTTTCTATTTATTAAGTTGTATTAATGCATTTCCAGTTTGTTTTGAACTTTTGTTTGTTTGTTTGCTTACGTGTTCTGTATTAAGGTTAAAACCTGCTAATTCTTTTGTGTAAGACAGAACAGGATTTGATTCCCTTCTGGATGAAATGCAGAAGTGTGAAATGGATCCTAAGGTTTTGCAATAAAAGACTTATGAGAGAATTGCTGTCATCCATATTTAGTATGTTTAAATGACAGATAAAAAGCCTTTAACGTGATCAGTTGGAAAATGTTTTGAAAATACTTCCCTTTTTAAGATGTGATGCAACTATTGGGTGTAACAAAACGAAATTATCTAATCTCTGTTTTTAATGCCTTTGCAGCCAGAGTTGGGAAGACATCACTAATTATGTCTCTTGTCAGTGAAGAATTTCCAGAAGAGGTAGAGCATTCTTATTTGTTTTCTATGTTTTATATCTATCCTGTTGTATAATTTTTTTCAAAGAGGTAATAGGCTCTGCTATAAAATAGTGTTTCCTATTTAGAAAAAAAATAAAGTCTAAAACTGCAGTGATGACTTCTGGAAGAGTGATGCAGGTTAGTTTAAATATATCTCTGCGTGAAGATTAGGAATTTAAATTTTATCTAAGTTCCTTTCTTGTTTTTCACATGGTTAGTTAAATTCATTTTTTGATATCTGAGGAGTGTTAGGGTTTTTTTTAAGCAGTTGAAACTGGTCATAACTGGCCGCATATTTCAACGTTAGAGACTCATAAATGGGAAGGTGCTGAAAGAGGCAAGACCCTCAAAATTTTTTTGTGTTGTATTTAAAGAGCAAGTAGATTGAAAAATGAATGAGAATGAGGAATTAAAAAGTCACATTGTATGACTTATACTTAGCCATTTTTTGTAACTAAACAAGACATTCCTTTATTTCTACTTTTGAAGAATGTTTTCCTGACTCTTTTGAAGTAAAAAATGCCGAAAACTCTTACTGCTTTCTTCCAGAATAAAAGTAAAGCTACTTCTACATTTTATTCCTTTAAAAAAACAGCACAGTTCTCTTTATACCATAAAAAGAACTGCAGCTGCTGCAAATAGTTAAGCTTTTTACATATGAACATGAATGTTTATTTCTTCTGATCACAAGTCTTAAAATAGACATCATGTGCTGCTCTTTGAATCTACACTGCGCTGTGTTTAATGCAAATCAGTAGGTTACCACAGTTCATGAGTCAAGATTAGATTGTTAACATAATTGAATTTAGTTCCGAACCTTGCAGTTAAAAAGGAGCTCCAGTTTCTGTTTGTTCTTAAACTGCTCAGGGACCCATTACATTGACAGCTTGTTTGTTGATGAGTTTAATGAATTGTAGGCCTCTAGTCACTTCTCAGCTTCTTCCTGCTGTATAATCTAGAATGTTTCTCTAAATTCATGTTGAGAGAAAAAGCGTCATTTATATATAACACAAAAATCTGTCTGAAATTCTAGAAATAACTTTAAAAAATACTGCATCCTATATAAACTGCTGAAAGAGACGTGCAATTCCTGCAGGTCAGTCATGCAGATCAGAGCTATATGGGTGTGTGTAACAGACATTTCAGACTTTGAAATAGTGTTTAATATACTGGGTGTTATCAGTAATCATTCTTGATGAAGATGTAAGTAGAGCCTGAAGCTTTACAAATAGCATTCTTCTGGTGATTGGCTTTTCTTTTTTTCCTTTTTTTATTAAAAGAAAATGAAAGTATCATGAAAGTTCAGGGTCAGCAGGTAAAAGGCGATAAATAGCTGTGCAGGTTAAAATTAGGTTTAAGTTGATTCTTTCTGAATATGGATTAGCGTTCTCTGGAAAAAATGGCCAGCAATCATAGCTAGTTTACAGCATTTTGCAGTACGCGCTTTTTATTAGTATCATGTTTTGCTTTGCAGGCTTCTCTGAGCTTAGTGTTTAGCACTGTCAGAAGCAAGGAACTTGTCAGGTTATGATTATGTAAAAAATGAGACTTGTATTTTGTCTGTCATGTTTGTTTGCCATATCTTGAATATTTAATTTTTTTTAAGAACTCATGCACTGTTCGAAGGGGTAGTTCTTGTACTGATTTCAGTGGGAGTAGGACCAGGATATCTTGTGCAAAAATTAAAACGTTTAAACATAGATTAAACAGTATTTAATTTGTCAATAATGACATGCTAACTGTGATGTTACTCTCCTGCTAAAGAATGTGTAGCCCTTTGAAGTAGTTGGTTGAATTTGATAACCCCCCAAATTTTAGAACTTTTATTTATATGACATTTTTGTTTAAAGTAAATTGCAATTCAGGTTTTGTTTATAGTTTTCACTATTACAATAGTTGTCTATAGGTGGTTGGGTATAGTGGATTTGAGTTTTATAGAAGCATTCATTGAATCCCTTAACAACATTGCTTTCTTGCAAAGCATGCAGGAAGTTCCTTATTCAGTAAGTAGACTAATAAAGAACGAGAAAGTAGCAGTGACTTTCAGTACATTGCAAAAGAAAAACCCCAAAGTACTTGAACTACTAATAAGTTGTTCTATTTAAAGCTGACTAATTGGCAGGTGTATTATAGTATACAACTTTTTTTGACCATCTGGATTTTCTGGATTATATTTAAAGGCTTTTCCTTGCTGTTTCTTTACAACCCAAGGTTCCACCACGAGCTGAAGAAATCACCATTCCAGCTGATGTCACCCCTGAAAGAGTGCCAACCCACATAGTGGATTATTCAGGTAAGGACTACACAATACTGTTACTGTTTGACTGATTTGGTATGGAATTGTTTATCTAACTCAGTGGCCTCTTTAACAGTCATACTGGTATGGGACCAAAGCTACTTGTAGGGAAAGACTAGATTAAATAGAAACTTGTGGGATAAAACTAAATTAGATGATGATGGCTGGTCCTACTAATTCGAAGCCTAACATTAACTGCTGCTGGTACTTCCGTGAAAGACAGTCGTAGCAATATTCCAGTGAAGTTAGTATTCTTTGTGTGACGGACATATTTACAGGTTCAGACAAAGGTGGGTACTTCCATGGAATTCAAAACTATTTTTCTTTCTTTCAGTGAAGAATTTACTAAGATGCAGGAGACTTTACGTACTTTATATTCTATGTCTTTCTAAATGTCTAAGTTTGGACACCTTATCCTTTTGTGTCAGTTTCATATTTTGTATTTTTGTTTTTTGTAATATTCTAATCTCGTTGACCTTACTGAACAGGTAAATAGGCTCAGTATCAAGGCTCACGTGCTATCGGAAATATATGCAACTGTTGCACAGCTAGAAAAATCCTTCTGCCATTTATAATAGAAGTCAAGAATTAGGCCATGTTAGCAGATACCTTCCCGTCTTCTCTTTCCCACCACCGCTGAGGAAATATCTTTGGTGTGTTTACCTATTTGGAACAAAGAAATAGGGCGTATTTTTTTCATTGGACTTGAGGTTAAATTTATGTGGAGTGAGTTTTTCTTTCTATTGGATGAAGTGTTTCATAGACGCAGTTAACAGAAGCTTGGTCTCACTAAATAAAATGGACACTGCAATAAAATTAACATACGTCATACTCTGTTGTAAAAGTTTACATTATAGAACAATGTTGCTACTTACTATCCCAGGAAGGGGCTGTTGATAAATGTAGGGGGATGCAAACTATGACTCATTCCAGAGAGAACCTGTCTACAAATGTAATTATTCCTCTTGAAAGTAGCTGCTAAAAAACTTGTGTGCCATAGACTGTTTCTGTCTTGCAAGTTAATGGATCAATTTCATTATTGTTACAGTAGAAGCACTCTTTAGTGCATTTTATAAAAAAACATTTAAATAACAAGAGCTTTCACAAGGCTGTCTTATGAGCGTTATGAAATACCCTAGTTCAGTTACTTAAGTTTTTCAGTTTTGTTTGCAAAAATGTTTAGTATTGATGAATGGCTTATTCTATTGAATGCAGAAGCAGAGCAAAGTGATGAGCAGCTTTACCATGAAATATCACAGGTAAGTGTATTTTAGTGTTTACTAGAAAATAGTTTCTGCTTTTGGAGAAATCTTTCCTTTCAAGTTCTCTGCATTAGATGGGCTTCAGTTTGAATTGGAAGAAAACCCAGAACACCTCTCTTGCTTTTCGTTTTGTTTTGTGCCCTGTGCTATAGTAAACCTTCCTCTGTTGAAGAAAAGTAGGTACTGCCACTGTGTTGGTGAATTGAGCTTAAGCTTTGTGCTTCCAAGGGAAAGGACAGAACCTAAATATCTTTTAATCAGTAGGCCAAGGGATTGACAGTTTTTCTAAAGAAATAATCCTACCCTGGAAAGGTCAATTTCAGTTCTTTCTGTCACGTTGTACTATTGCATTTATGAATAGCAAGGGATTCTTGGTAATTTTATAATTCCTTCTGTTTCCTATTTTCAGTTCTTTCTGAGCACCTTTGCACATTTTCTGTGCAGTCTGTCACGGTGTTGTGTTCCATTTCTGGCATTTAGTTTGGTACTTGAGTGGAGGCTGCAAATTACGATTCTTCAGTTTAGATTTCTTGGTAGCATAGGTCTCTCTGCAGGCATAAGCTGTGAATGTTGCACTGCAAGACATGCTTTTTGGCACTTCCCAACTTATAAATTATTTGGTTTAAGCTGTTGTCAGGCTACAAGTAGCTTAAACAGGTCAGGGACACAGTTTTTGACTAATGGTGGAACTGTTCTTACTCTGATGTTGTTACATATGGTTCTTAATTGTCTCTGTTGCTCTAGAGACTCTAAACGGTGGAATTCCATGCCTTTCCTTTTTTTTCATTTTAGGCAAATGTGATTTGTATAGTATATGCTGTTAACAACAAGAACTCTATTGATAAGGTATGGTAACACGTTTTATGCAGTTATTGCTTGAGATGTAACTTGTGGACTGTTAACTGTTGGCGAGCTGAAAACTGTATTAGACATTTAAAATGCGTAAGACGGTATTTGTTAAGAGAACATACAGATGTATTATTGCCTCTTGTCCATTTCAACATCTGAGTTTTTAGTCATTTCAGTCATCTGAGAAAGCTGCTTGTTAATCAACTCCAGTTTTTATTTCTTTCCTCCTTTGTGGGTAAATACTTCTTGGGAAAGAAGCAGTAGCAGTTGTAGTTGAACTTGTGCACAGTTCGGTCATATTAAATTTGAACGTGTATTTTTCATGTTTGTTTTTAACCCCACTTTAGGTAACAAGTCGATGGATTCCTCTCATCAATGAAAGGACAGACAAAGATAGCAGGTGCATAAGTAAAGATGAGAAGTGTGAATTAGGCTGCACATCGATGGGTGTCAATGGACAGTGTTGAGGATGTTAATTGTTTAAGAAAATCAAATTCTAAACTTAAAGTTTATATAAGAAGTCCAAGCAACAAGAGATTTAAAGTATGTAGGTCTGTTACATATGCTAGCAATGCTATTTATTTTGAATTTCATGGGCAGCTTTTACCAGGTGTGTTTATATTTGTTATGGTATAACTAGTTTTGGCTACCTGGTCTGTATACGTTTTCTGCTGGTGGTGGTTTTGTATAATAATAACATGATCGGTTACTTTTGTGTTTAACTGTGTGTTTTTCATAGTATCAACAAGAAGTACATTTCTGTCTAAGTGTGTATCAAAACAGTTTACTTAAAACTGCTATCGTTTAGTTTTGCCTATTGGCTGCCTGTGATATTTAATTACATCATGAAAATAATATAATGGCTTCCGGTGGGAGGTAGGATGCTAAATTAAGATAGATCTTTTTATCCCTCTGTCTTTAAAGCTCTTAACCTTTTTTTGTTTCCAGGCTGCCTCTTATATTTGTTGGAAACAAGTCTGATCTAGTGGAATATAGCAGTATGGAAACTATCCTTCCCATTATGAATCAATATACAGAGATAGAAACATGTGTAGAGGTATGCAAGACTTTCTGAAGTTAGAATGAGTAACAAAAAATACATTCTTGCCAAGCATGTATGGCAACTTTTTAACAGAAAAAGTGGTGGGGTTTTTTTTTGTTCAAAATAAAATATTCAAATATAAGTCATTATCATGGTGAGTTTATATGTTATTTTTCTTTAGAGAAGATTACACTATTGTATAATCAAATATTACTGTCAAATTCTTCTAATGTTTAGAGTCTTCTCACATCCTTGCCTTTAGCACGTGTTTTAAATTTAATATGAAGCTAGACAGGTGTCTGCAAAGTATTAAAAATGGGATTAATATGTGTGGATATGCCTCTCTCTTTCTTTTTTTTTTCCAAAGTAGATACAACTTTTTGATTTCTCTGTTATTGGTATGGCAGCAAATTGTAGTGAGAACTCCTTTATTAATCACTGAACAGGTACAGGGGCTAGATGTCTTTTTTTCCAAAACAGCACTGTACCCACAAGAGGGGGCTAGATCTTTAAAAGTTTGGTGCTTGCTTAAACTTCAGAAGAAATCACCAAATAGTCAAGAAACTAGCTAATCAATATAAGGATTTCTCTTTCAGTGTTCAGCCAAAAACTTGAAGAATATATCTGAGCTATTTTATTATGCACAGAAAGCTGTTCTACATCCTACAGGTCCTCTTTATTGCCCAGAGGAGAAAGAGGTATTTATACATAGATTCTAAGAACAAATAATATAGGGGGGGAAGTTAGTAACTTTTCCTGTTCTTTCCTTTTCAGTGGATTTTGCATTTCTTAGTGTGTTCTGTTACCACCACCCCACCTCCAAATGTTAAGCGTTATATTCCAGAACCATGGTGATTGTTTTGTGTTGTATTAATCCGATCTGTCTTTCCTCTTCATTCAAAGCAATGAAGACAGTTTTTTGTTGCCCATGTGAATTGCTAAGTAAAATGAGAAGCTTTGGTAATGGCTTTAAACCCAGTGTAATATGAACAAAATCATGTGTTCCATTCAGTTCTCCTTTACATATGCATTTCACAGTAACTCCATTTATTTCAGGGAAAGTACTCCAGACTTGGCCTGATTTAAGGGAAAGAACTTTTCTGAGCATCTTGTGAGACTTTGGCAAAAGGAATAAGAAACAAGTGGTGTGGCTGGTTTTTTAAGTATCACAAGTAGTTAGCTCAGAGTATTATGAAGGAGTATGTTTTTTTTTTTTTTTTAAAAACATTAATTTCATGGGCAAATACAAATAAAATCTCTAAACATAACCCCTGTGTAGTACTGGGCAGTAGGAAAGTTGCTTCAGTCATAAATACTTTGTGAAGTAGGGAACCAGAGAATAACCCTGTTTTGATTTCTTCCATCAGAATCATCTTTGTGAGTTAGTAATGTTGTGATAAAATTGTTGTGCTGAAATCTTTTTGATTTTCCAAAACCAATCTCTATGCAATCTGTGTGACCTCTGTGAAGAGAAGAGTCCATCATCACTGTAGTTGTTGGGAGAGAATTACCACTGTCTGTTTTCCTTCACTCGGAAGGTATCCCAGCAATTCTTTTGTCATAGAGATAGTCCATATGATCAATGCTTTGCCTGGTAGATGAATGAGCCCTGTGAAGATTTTCACTATTTGATGTTTGAAGCCTTCTGAAGCCATAGTTGAAATAGTGAATAGAGATAGTGTGCTTGTTTAGAAAGGGTTGCCTGTAATTCTAGAGCCATTTATTTTTGCAAGGCACTGGGATTGCAAGGCCTCTTTTTTTTTTTTCCCCACCAAAAAATGTTTGGGGAAAAAAAACCATTCAGGTTTTTTTGTTTTTTGGTTTTTTTTTTAAAGCTTTCTGTGGCAATAAAACTGAATTTAGAGAACTGATTTTTTTTTTAATTAAGTAGTGCCACCTTCAGCTTGTGAAGAGCTTGAGGCTCTTCTAATAATTGAATAGAAAGACATTTAATGTGGAATAATTGCTTTAAATTTATGGATATAAATTTGTTAGATCAGGATTTTGTTTCCTCTTGCTTTTTATTTTTGTGTACGTGTGTATGAATGTCTCTGTTCTAAAAATGAAAAATGAAGGCTAGTATTTGTTTTAATGTGATTGAGCTATCTGATGTCATTCAATGTAATCTTTTTATATTCAAGCCTAGAAAGATACTGAACTTTCTTTTATTCCTTAGATGAAACCTGCCTGTATTAAAGCACTCACTCGCATTTTTAGAATTTCTGATCAGGATAATGATGGTACTCTCAATGATGCAGAGCTCAACTTCTTTCAGGTAACTCTTCTGCTTATCTTTTCACCACGCTTAATAGTTGAACTATATAATTCTAGAAAAACAAGTGATTGTTTTTTAAGGAACAGTAGTAAGGTGAATTATAAGGGAATTGGGTCTAAATATTAAAAGTCTGAAATGCAGCATAAAAGAGTGGATCTGTAAAAACTGAAATGGTATTAATTTTATTTCTAACCATTGTTCAAGTTTTAGTTCAAAAGCAAAAAAAACCCCAAAACCTATTTAAATGAACAAGCCCCAGTGCTTGCATTTAAAAATAAAATAAAGTTTGTACACCTTTATTTCCACTAAGAAATTGGATTGTCCTTTACTAGCTTACCAGAACGTTTAAGGCTGTATTTCATACAGGACATGCTGTTTGTCCAGCTTAGTAGCCAGTGGTTCTAACATGCTCTTTTTGTTTTTCTGTTAGAGAATTTGTTTTAATACACCACTGGCACCTCAAGCTTTGGAAGATGTAAAGAATGTAGTCAGGAAAAACCTAAGTGATGGAGTTGCCGATAATGGATTAACATTAAAAGGTAAGCCTTATTTAACTCTAAAAAGATATGTCTTTATGCAGTTGATAACCATTCTTACATAAAAAAGCTAGTCTTTTGGAGTATGATCTCTGTCTTGATTCTTTTAGACTACAAGAGCTGGGTGTAGTGGCAGTATGATACCAAAGGATGATTAAACTGAGGAATACCGGGGTGAATAAAATAAGGTCTTTCTTACTTCTCATTACAGAGCTTGGAATCCAAATAAGTGTACTGATTCAAAAGAGATTGTCTCCTAGATAAATCTGTATCTTGTCTCTAGGCTCACTGTCTGCAACACTTGTCAGCAAGGTGTGGTGTCTGTCAATGTTTTAACAGCTATGTTGTACAGATTCGCTCAGAGCATATGGCAAAAGTGAAAGGATAAAAAACGTTTTCTTTCTGAGCATCAATGTAACTGCTTTGCTTGTGGAGCTTACATACGTAATAGGACTCGTGAGAAATTGTAAAGAGTGGGAATCTTAAGGCATAGCCTTACTAAACAGTGAAATCTCAGTGTTCATTAAGCCCTGGAAAGTGCTAAAAAAAAATCCTACCCAGTTATTTTGATACAGGAAAACTAAATGCAATCTTCCATGAGACTACTCTCCAGGCTTCTTGCTAAGGCTTACTATTTTAAATTGTTGAAAATATTGTTGTCTTTATTTTCATACAGCTAAGTTCTTCTAAAATGCTGGTACTGAAAGAAGCAAACAACAACAGAAAGCCAAGTGGGTTGTTTTAAGGAAACAGTTCCTTGAAGGACGCTTTTACAAATAACATGATTTCTGAACCTTCAGTCTGTGTAGATAATGCTGTAATGTCACCCAGGAGGTTTAAAATCTGAATGTGTATTTCAAGCTTTTTTGTTTTCAGTCTGATACTATTCTATTAAAAATACTTGTAGCAGATAAAGCACTTCAGGGCCTTAAGATTTCATAATTTGATTTTTAGGTTTTCTTTTTCTACACACACTTTTCATTCAGCGAGGAAGGCATGAAACAACTTGGACTGTTTTACGTCGCTTTGGATATGATGATGACTTAGAGCTTACACCAGAGTACTTGTTTCCTCCGTATGTATTGCTTACTTTAGCTTTCTTTAACTTAACGTGCATTTAATTTATGCTGCCTCCTGCTTTGGGGAGGAAAGGGTTATTGTAGTGTGTTTATTTAACACATTGTTACATCAAGTATCTCCCTTACTTTATGATATACCAGCCAAAATCTTGGTGTGACTGAAAATTACGAAGGAAGAACTCCTGTCTCTTGTGCCAAATCATGTACTGCTATCTCTCTTTATGGATGGCAAAAGAGACTCTTAATACAAAACCGGAACATAAATCCGAGCAGTTGTTTATTGTATGTGGCAACAAATTAGAAAAGTCTTGTCAGTATTTTCATAGCACTTGAGATCCTTTGAAAATCCGCAAATTAAAAAGTTAAGAGATCGACCAACTCTGTGGCTTCTTTTCAAAAATGTAAGTATATAATTTTCCATTAAAAAAAACCAAACACAAAAACGAAACAACCAAACAAAAACCTGATTACTGTATAGCTACATATCATGTAATATAAAGACACTCAAAATTTTAGAATTCCTAATAAAAAGTATGTGCTTTGATCTCTTTAAAGATAAATTAATAAAGCTAAATGCAAAGGTCAAATACCAAATGTTGCAATTCAAAAAGTCTGTATATTCAGTTTTAATATTCTATTTCATAAACACACTTAACACTTCTTGTATTTGTTTTTGTTTTCAATAAACAGGCTAAAAATTCCTCCAGACTGCACAACAGAATTAAATCATCATGCATACTTGTTTCTTCAAAGTATTTTTGATAAACATGATTTGGTAAGCTTTTAATTTGAGAGCGTGTGTGTCATTATACTTAAGAGGCTTAGTTTGCTAGCAATTTTGCTAGCAAAAAGTGTGGTTTTGGTCATTATGTAATTTCATTCAGAAACTGGCTCTGGCTTAAGCTTTGCAGTCAAAACTAGCCTGCTGTTTATATTTCTGTCTACAAGGAGAGTTGGCAGTTATAGTTGTACTACCAATTTTTTTTTAACTAGCTCATAGATTTAGTCTCGTTTAAAACCAAGAAAAGAACAATGATTAAAAAGAAAGCAGCTCAGTTTCTTATAGCCAGTTTCTTGAATCTTGCAAGCGTACAGCAAGAAAATACCAGTTTAGAATAGACATGAATTAAGTGATTTATGTCTGATACCGTATGCTTGTTTCCAGGACAGAGATTGTGCTTTGTCTCCCGAGGAATTGAAAGATTTGTTCAAAGTCTTCCCTTACATGCCATGGGGACCTGATGTTAACAACACTGTTTGTACAAATGAAAGGGGGTGGATTACATACCAAGGGTTTCTCTCTCAGTGGACGTAAGTGTGATACATTACATTTTAGTAGTTGAGAACCTTGGGTATGATAATGCATTTGTAGATTCCTCTTAAAAATCTAGTAGAAAGAGTGGAAGTTTAATAGCTGAAAATTGACCCAAGCAGTCAAGTTTTTATAGCCATCCAGTGGCCTAATCTTCAGACAATTGTTATTGTTACCCTGTTCAGGATTTGGCCAGTATTTAGTGCTAACTGTGAAGAAGTGTCTCTTCAAAATGTGAAAATCTCCCTGAAACTTGTTGAAATATTTATTTCTGTTGTTCAGCTCTTTAGAGACGGTATGAATAATGATGGTCAATAATGAGGGTTTTTTCCTATTGAAAATACAGAAAATGAGGAAAACATTATTTGCTGAGGGAAAAAAAAATATGGTGTTGGTTGATAGGCCTCAGCAAGTACTGCCTTCATAGTGTTTAGCTGACCGTGATGACTGGTAAAGTTGCCACCATTTACCTTCAGAGTGCTTTTGTCCTTCAGTACTACATAGCGCCAGGAATACTTCTATCATGTCAATCTGGAGATAGGAAAAAAATTGTTTCAGTACTGTAAAGAATTGATATCACAATTGCTAACAATTTAGAAACTTCTTTTTGTCCTCTCTGCTAGACTAACCACATACTTAGATGTACAGCGTTGCCTGGAGTACCTGGGTTATTTAGGCTACTCGATACTTGCAGAACAAGAATCTCAAGCATCAGCAATTACAGGTAATAAAAAAAACCCAATTTGGTACAACTTAGGAATTTAAAATTAGAAATCTGCTCAAGAGTAAATTGTGTAAACAAATGGTCTTTTTTCACTTACATTCTCTTTTACTTTCTGCTCAAGTCAAACCTCTGATTTAATAGTTGAGAGAGTGTTTTGTGTGCGTTTTAATGTAAGTGGACAATTATTTCATGTTTTCACATACACGCATGCATGTACATCTTGTGAAAAATATTTGTGTTTTTTCAAAAGTAACAAGAGATAAAAAGATAGACCTCCAGAAAAAACAGACTCAGAGAAATGTTTTCCGATGTAATGTTGTTGGGATGAAAGGCTGTGGGAAAAGTGGAGTTCTTCAGGCGCTTCTTGGAAGAAATCTAATAGTAAGAAACCTTGTGCTTATATTCACCTATATATGCTTTTGAGTTAAGGTTAGACAGCAAAACCAATTGATCTTAGAGCTTTACTGATTATTACTGAGTTTGCAGAGTTCTATGAGGGCATATAGAATTATTGGGGAGGGGGTTTTTTATGTTGGTTTTTTTTTTTTTTTTTTACAAATTTTTGTTTTTTTTTTTTTTTTTTTTTTAGCAAATCGACAAATGGCTATTGCATGCAGTAATTACTTGTACATCATGGATTATAGCTATGCATGTACTTGCAAAATAAACCACAGATTACTGTAATTATCATTCATTAATAAATGGAATAAAACAGCTGTTCAAATTAACTTAAAGGGGAAAGTTGCTGTGGTCTAACATGAAATTCTGCATTTTCAGAGACAGCGGCAAATACGTGCAGAACACAAATCTTACTACGCCATTAATACAGTCTATGTATATGGACAGGAAAAATACTTGCTGGTAAGGTTGCCTCGTTATTGTTTGCATAAGACTGGTTAATCTTAAAATTTAGTGAGTTATTCAGAGCCTCCTGCAAACACATTTCTGTTTAATCCTCTCTTTGTAAATGTGGATTCCCCCATTTTTTTTTTTTTTTTTTTTTTTTTTAAATTCCCCCCTCTTCCCCCCCCCTCCTTTTCTGGCTCAGATAACTTCTGGTTTTACATGTTGCTAATACTTTAAACTGAAACTGTTCAGGGCCTGTTATTTTTTGAAACCTTGACCTAAATCATACAGAACCCAGTCCGTTATGTTTATGGTGCAGGGCATCAAATTATAACATACAATAAATTATCAACAAGCAATCTACCTATTTAGAAAAGAAAAATCTGTCATGTAGGGTGATTAGGATGGTTAAAAAGTTAATCTAGTGGGTGAAATACTTTCTTTAAAGCTTGTTCCACTGTAGTTTTCCTTTATGATAATATGGTATCTTTCTTTTGTTTTCCAAGATCTAGTCCTCTGCTCTGTGGTTTTCCTCTGTAGGATGATTGCCAGTTTCTATGGGAATCTAAGACTTTGTGTTAGAAGTAAATGTAACTTTTTATGCTGAGGTTGTGATTGCCTGCAGATGTGATGTTAACAGCTCACATATGTTGGCTGTATGGTAAATTCCTACGATTTCTTTTTCATTAATTCTGCCCTTTGTCAGTCCATTAGTTCTAAGGATACATAAAAATGAGCCATAAAAATTATGAGAAAAAGAAAGTTATAAAATTCCTTTAACTGCATAATGACAAAGCTTTTCTCCCTCTCTGACCATCTTTTTTTCCAGCTACATGATGTCAGTGACTCTGAATTTTTAACTGATGCTGAGACCATATGCGATGCTGTCTGCCTGGTATATGATGTCAGTAACCCTAAGTCCTTTGAGTACTGTGCCAGGATTTTTAAGGTTTGTATAGTTTATGTATACAAACCTTTACATTTATATATCTTTTCACTGACCAAATATTGTGTCAGTTACTGGTCCTATACACAAGTTCTAGTGCTTAAAAGACGTTTTATTTATGAGTGCTGGTTATATTTGGCTGATGCATTAAAAATGCAGCTTTGTTATTCATACAAAGCTAATGTCTACTTGTCTATATAAAATACCCTGCTTCTAGAAATGCCTGACTTCGGTGCAATGAATGTATCTTAATGCTGCTGCAACCAGTTCAACTCAGGCTGTTCCAGGTTGAATGTATCATGTACTGTTTCTTTTGCTTTTTTCCTTTAAATTTGCAGCAGCACTTCATGGATAGCAGAATACCATGCTTAGTGGTAGCTGCAAAGTCCGACTTGCATGAAGTTAGACAGGAATATAGTATTTCTCCTGCTGAATTCTGCAAAAAACACAAAATGCCTCCACCTCAAGCCTTTACTTGTAATACTGTTGATGTGCCGAGTAAGGATATCTTTGTTAAACTGACAACTATGGCAATGTATCCGTAAGTACTTGAACTGTTGTATTTTTCATATTGCATGGGTCATGCACAATACCACTGCATGTCATTGTTAGCCACGAGGATGGAACTGCCTCACCGAGATTTAGCAACAGAGAGACATAAGTGACTTGAGAAGAGTCTTCAAATTATTTCACATTGAGAAAGTTGGTATATATCCAACGTATAAATCAGTGTCAGCTATTGTTGCTAAGGTATTTTTTAAAGAATACGCTACTTCATCCAGCTCATGTTGCAAATTCCAATGAACATGTAGGGTTCTGTTCAGTCCTTATTGTGGATGCATAACTCAATATGTCAATATTCATATCTTGATATTTTTGAGATACTTGTGAATAAGTTGTCCTGTAATCCTTGTTAATAGCTCAACTTCACAGTTGATTACAAGTAATGACACTCTTTAGTGAAAATGGTTCCCCCAATGCACTGCTTGAGGCTTTTTTTATTTTCAGGGTGTTTATTACTATGTTTATTACTATTCAGTTCATTAATCTAACAGATCTTATATTTTTTTAATAGAATTTCTGTATAAACACCTTTTGGGCTTGAGATAGAAGATACTTAAGCTCACATTCTTCTTCACTACACATCTCACTGTTGCTAAGCTCCCTTTGCATCTCTTTTTTTGGTGGGTGGAGCTTTTAATATGGTGATGAACTACATAAATATTACAGCAGCAGATGGAGTCTAGTATGACAGCTGACATTTGCTTTACATTAAATAGAACTGTCACTTTCACCCAAAATAATAGGATTTTTAAAAAAATATTTGAAACTGAAGCTATTGAATTAGATTTGTAAAGTTTTTGTTTTGTTTTTGTTCTCTTGTATTTATTTTGTTGCGCTGGAATACTGGGAAAACACTAAGTGTAGCACTGACCAAATGTCTTGTCATATCAATATTCCTGCTTCTCCCTTAGTTTTCAAGCATGTGTGTTTGTTAGGGTGGGAAAGTAGAGGTAACCGTCACTTGTAAAGTGTGCATTCAAAGCGGTAGAAAATGTGGCTTACTTTCCTTTGAAAAAGGGGTGTTATCTATTGCTGTGCAGACATACTCAGAAGCCTTTAGATGCTTTCCTTACAAACTTAAATAAATTCAGCAAACATTTTCGTTCATGTTTGTGCTTTGCTATTAAGATCTGTGTATGGTGGTAATGCCAAAACATCCAAGACGTAGAACATCGAACCTTAAAATTCTGCACAGCTGTAGTTGTACCCTTGCTTCCCCAGTGTATTTTTTTTTCTCCTCTCCTTACTCATTCAAATGTACCTTTTATTCCTAAATCTCTTGGTTGTGGCACAGTCCTAATGTGCACCTGATTTTATGAGCAAGATTTCAACTCCTGTCCTTCTGTGTGTTTTCGCAGCCATGCCCGGTTACGCTGTATGTGCGCCTGCAACAGGTGTACATTTTGCATCTGTCAGAACTTCCTCAACTCAGACTTGCTGCAATCTGTAAAGAACAAACTCTTCACTGCAGTTCTTAACAGGTCCTTAACTTTATTTACTAGGTACCAGGTGTGCTTTTAAAATAAAGTTTTTTAGAAAAAGCAATTGGTAACCTTATATACTGCAGATTTTTCACTCCGTATCCACTAAATAGGCAGATACTTTAATAATTGTCATAAAATTGTCAAACTTTGTTTAACTTGAAGGTACTTTTGGTCTTTTGAGCTTAGTCCAGTGATTTCTTTGAAACATTACCAATTTGGTAGTTGATTCAGGCACTTAGTGATTGCAAAAATACTGTGGAGAAATTAGGACTGTGTTTTAGGGAACTGGTAATGGACATTAAGTAGTCTATAAATCTGTGTAATGTGTCTCACTTGAGATATTATAGGTTTGTTTAGTATTGATTAAAGGTAGTGCCTCATAGATATCAGTTACACAAATATTTTCATAAAGGCACAGCTTGACTATAGCAGCATCGTATAACATATTACATGTTTATATTTGCTAGTTGTTTGATATTTGGGAATTCATAGAATTTCTCTGTGTGTGTTATGCTTGGTTTGCACAAAGAGTGGGTATTTTGTGTTAAAATGTGTGTGTGTGTTACGCTTGGTTTGCACAAAGAGTGGGTATTTTGTGTTAAAAAAAAAAAAATTTAGAGCTTTTAACATCCAATTCCTCTCTGAATAAAACGCAACACGTAAGAAGTGGTAAATGGTTAAACATTTGCAGACACTTTGGAAAAAGCAATTGGTAAAGAGAGGTAACTGGTTTTCAGCATTGAAAACAGTGCTATACCTTGTCTTGTGTGTACTGCAGGCAGTTTTTGACACACATGATTTACTAACACCTCAGCACTTGTCACATCACCCCAGCAAAGGGGAGTTCAAACCGAACAATTTTTGTAGTGTAGTGGTTCCATCCTTTATAGCCTTCTTGGAGGCGTATATGATAAATGTGATCTTGGAGGCAACTATGATAAATGTATTTATTTGAAGGCCATGGTTAGAATATCCTGACATGCTGCTGGTCCATGTATGTTACTACTTTTTACTGTTTCCAGATGTAGCTGCTCCAAATAAGAGTGGCTGTCTCCTTTAAATGCAAGTTACACAGACATAGGAGGCCTACTGATACACCCGCCTACAGTACTGAGCATCTTTGTGAAATACCACCTTAATCCAAGATAAAAGTGTTAACCACAGAGTGAGAGTTCAGAGCACTCATTAGCTTAGGAAAAGACTATGAATATGAGTGAGACTGTTCATGCTGCACCTCTTCTACAGCAGTCATCCCTTGACAAAAATCCCTTGAAACAGCAATCTCTTTGCATGTTGTCACTTTAAAACTTCATTCAGCAGTCACTATGAGAAAATCCCAACTCTTTATTATTGAGGCTGAAATTGCCTCTATAACGTGTCCTCTTTTTTTGGAATGGTTATGGGTTGCTACGTTAGCTGTCATGGCTTGTTTCTCTCTTGTATGGGCCTGTGGTTTTTTTCAGTCCTGCATTAGACATTGCACTTTGTTCCTCTGAAATACTGTCAAGGACTCAAGGTATCAAAATCTTCTTATGAGAAGTCTCGGGATGCTGTCATTCCACACCTTGTCACTAGATAGTGTGGAATAAGCATAGGAATCTACTACTACCTAAAAAAGTCTGTAATTCAAGGTAAAGAGAATTCCTCATAGACTTTTCCACTGACCCTAAAGAAAGGGAAATTTACTTGTTAGAATCTCTTTGTCTATAGTAATTCAGTTAGTCACTAGGGTTTTGTTGCAGGTTTCCAGTATGCTCGCTTCATCTCACCAACTCTCTTCCTAGTTAGCTCTTCAAGGGTGTTTCCTTATGAACACATTGCTGCAGGCTGTTCACCATTCAGTACAGGGACTACTGTATAACTGCATACATAGTAGAGATGAGATACCTGTAAACAAGAGGGAATAGCTCCAAATTGAAGATGAGATATCTGTAAACAAGAGGGAATAGCTCCAAATTGTAGACTTAGGAGGGTAGAGGCAGTTTTCTTGTTTCAAAATGTTAGCTCCTTAGATGTGTTTTTAATCTGATTTGTGATTAGATTAGAGAAAGCATTTGAATCAAGAAGGATTTTTAGTTAGTTTATATCCCTTTTCTTATTTTGCCTTTACAAATGCTTACCATTAGGTCAGGTAGTTGGGCAAAAGTTAGGTAACTGATGGGCAAAGGAGGTTTCTCAAGAGTACTTATTCTCCTGATCCCTTCCTGTTCTGAAGCTTTGGACAGTGGAAGTAGGTAAGCTGAAATTTTTCAGATTGGACCCTTCCTGTATTATTTGTTGCTAAGTAATGCTTAAACATTGCTAGGGCAAAATATAATATCACATCTGAATATTCCCACCTTAGTAATTAAAGAAAAACATTGCCTCTATGCAACTGAAAAACCTATTCATGCCCACGTTCAGTTTCTCTTCTATGGACAAACTTTAGAGACTCTCCCAAGGGTTTGTAGGCTATCAGAAAAGCAAGTTCAACAAATGTGGAAGTTCAGTTTGGAGATGTTTATTGTGCAGGAGCAGGATTGTTGGTTTGAACTACCCAGGATCACATTTCATTGGTTCTTTGAGGGAGAAGGCACTGCATTCAAAGCACTGTACACGCATGTATGAGACTTGTTACTACGCTGTAGTATTTTTATATTTTTAATTTGTTCTTTCCTTTAGGTGTTCGTTTGTATTTGTCTGGTTGGCACTTAATCTCTTTTTACTACATTGTTTTACCTCTTTTTAAAAGCAAGGTTTCTGCTTATGTTATTCTAACCCTTTCTTTAATGATGAGCTTGGATTTTCGGCTTTTTTTTTTTAACTCCAGAGCATCAATTTTAAGTGTGTTTTTCTGCTTTCTTGGTTTTAAATCATTCACTTGTTGCCTTTTGCTTGTATAGTAGTGGCATTTTTCTGTCAGCTAAGATCATTTCAAAATAAAATAATTCTAATGCATGAGAATTGTGTTGTTCAGTGAGGGAGACTTCTCAGAGCATGTTTTTTTTCTGTCTTCTAAAGTTTTTAAATATTGTGGCGTAGAAGTGAAGTTCTACCTGCATATAAAACATGGTTGTTTCAGGAATTATTTGTAAGATTTATTTTTTTTTTCCTATGAAAACCTTCCTTCTGTGAAATTAAAGTTAAGACAATAGTTTCACTTTCCTGTAATAATGGGAAAGTTTTAAGAGTATAACCCAGGATTTATTTTTCACTCTGTGCAGTGTATGCAGATTATTTTTCAAAACTATAGTATATTGCCATTAAATCTAATTGCAGAAATCTAGCCCTATACTTAGGCATCTCCCAAATTAGGACAGTATAACAATATTTTACTTACCTATTTTCCTCCTTCTCTAAACTGTTTAATACCCTGTACTGAGTAGAAGATTGCAAAGCTGTGCCCCCTGATTTCTTTCCAAATAGAATGTATTGAATTGGCATTTTACATTCTTTTTAGGTTTTGTAGGTAGTAGGATGCACTTGGAGCTTTTCACGTTTTAGATGACTAATACATGGGGGAAAATTCTAACTGCTGGAGTTGGTTTGCATCCTAAGAAAATATGTGCCTGAAGGGAAGCTGCAGCAGCTTGCACATGTTACGTGATGTTTTTAGAATTCAGTTGCTTATATTTTATTGTTAGAACTTATTGTCTGTCAGAGCAGGCAGCTGCTGCTGCTGCTGCTTGCTGGCTGCATTAACTTGCTTATAACTTTGATGTGAGTAGCCACGTGACTAGCCTGTTGGTCTCACCACAGTGCTTTTGAAATGCTTTTGTAGTTAATACAGGAATGTTTTTGAACTCTTATAGTTATGGTTAAACCTTCCCAGACCTGGGATTCTTCTGCTGCTGACACAGGGAAAAGTGTCAGTATTGGCCCATAACTCAGCAATTTTCTGTGTGTAACCATGACAGGCATGCTCAGTTAACCTCTTGATAAGTGCATGTTGCAAACTTCTTGTGAGTTGTTAAAGCCTCTTAAAAGAAAGACTGTACAGATTTCAAAGATCTTATTCAACAAGTGACAAGTTACTTGATGCGCTATTAAGGGTAGTTTGAATAAAAATCTCTCTTTTTTTCCAAATGTGCATTAAAGTCTGAATTTTATGCCAAAGGCAAAATTTCTAGACTTTCTTACATATGTAGAACTAATTCTGTGATTAAATACACACACCAATCTATTTGGGAAGTTTGAAAGCTAGTTATTACTACTAATAAGCAAGAGTTTCAAATACAGCTTCATTTATGGAGTCCTAAGTACTACTGTGTGTGTGTATATGTGCACATCCATATATATGTTTAACCCTTGGAGAGAATAACTTTTCTAATTCAGAGTTACTCTCCTACTACAAGGCAGTAATAATTTCTACCACTGGTGAAAATTAGTTCCATAAACACAGCCACACTAAAATTAAATTTGAACGTTATTTATTGAAGAGGTAGAATTTTTCAGTATGTATTGAGAAAAGTTTTTCTGGATTATAGCTGCTTTCATGTCAAAGAACCTGTGTTGGAAGCAAACATTGATCCTTTTTCATTATTTCAGGCAGATATATTGGGGTTTTTTTCTTTTAATGGCAGCTAAACAATATTAGGGATCAAGTTGAAAAAATTGAATTTATGACAGCATAAGGAACACTTAAGGAAAAAAAAATTGGAGTTTTTTTTAAAGGTGTAAACCAATTAGACATCCGTAGTGTTCTGAATTTCAGTAAGGATGTTTGGGCTGAGATGTTCAGAGGGCCCTAATCGTTTCTTAATTGAGGTTATAAGACAAATCCCTGCCTTGATTTAGTTTCTTTATTTAAATGAGTCAGTTACTGTTAGGCTTAGAAAAGGGATCAGAGACAATTTACTCTCCCTTTAGACATGAAAAGAGGATTTTATCATGACTGAGAATATATTAATTGTTTTTAAAAGGATGAAGCATGCTCAGCAAGTTTCTTGCATACCATTAAATATGGACATGTGCAAAAGTCACAACAAGGCAAATTATTGATAGGAATCAGAAAATCTAGATATGGGAGATAGTGCTTTATGAGGCAATGCAAAAGCATTCATTTGCAACTTAAACAGTGATTTGTACTTTTAAAGGGATGCTTTTTAAATTATACAAATAGTTGGGCATTTGAATTAACCAAATTAAATTTGACAGTTGTTAGTTACACAAAAATTCACCCAACAGAGCTTGTCACATAATCTATTAAAATCATGTTACATACAAGTGATTTATTTTACATACACTGATAGGTTTTATAATTTACAGATCTGAAGACAAGTGTTTTATAGTCTTTTACTAAAAAAAAACCACAAATGCTAAAGCTCTTAGTAGTGATAAAATACAGTCTTGAATTGAATTAGCAACAGTAATGAGATCTTGTGAGTTTTAGGGCTGATGTGTTGGAGTTGTTCCAGTGTGTTTAGCACAGGTACTCTAGCTCGTGTGTATGGTGCAGGAGTATTGCCATATCCTGTCGACATGAAAGTTGAGGCTTTGGGGATGGAGTGGGAAGAGATTCAGTTTCTTAAGCCATTTTCTTTGTCCTTAAAGCAATGGCATTTAGCTACATAAAATAATATTTTTTTTTTTACTTAGCTCATCAAAAGTATAAACTCCATTTATTTCTTTTTTTTCCCAAGCACTAAGTTTTTAACAACTACACAAGAATCACGGGCTAGATAGCTAAAAATTATAAATTCTCTGGGCTTTGTCATTTGAGCATATTTGAGACACTTGCTGTTGTTGAGCCATGCTATGAACTGCAAACTGTGCATGTGTGTAAAAAGGTTAAGACCCTACATAGATGAGTTGGGGGCCATGCTGTTAGCAGACGAGGAGAGCAGTATTATGCAGCAGGTGCACGCCGTCAACTTTGTAGAAGATTCCATCTTCATGGAGTCATCTCTTGGTCCACGTTTACTTGAAGACAGGTAACAACAGCCAAACTAAGGTGACCTTGCCATTGCCTTTTCCCTTTCTTCCCCTCAGCAAACCACTTGACATCTAGTTTGCAGAGAGTTTGTCAAAACTAGCTGTAGAAGAACTAATGCTTGCAGGACTTCATGAATTTTGATCTGTTCCATAACCGAGCAAGATATTCTTAAATAAGATTAGGATTTTTTTAGAGACCAGCTGTATTTCGCTGTTTGTGCACCAAAAAGCCTGTTCTTCAGCATGTGGTATGACAGTACACTGATTATCTATATGGCTTATATTGCTCCTGCAAATGTCTACTAAAGAATATCCTAAACTGGTTTTGTGTATTTTGATAGCAAGTAACAATTCCTGCTTTATTAAACAGCTTCTATGCTATAGCTCTGCAGTTCACACTATATGAACTCTCTGTGCACCGTGTATGCTTAGGATCTCTGTATGCTCCTTGTACTTAATACTCCTGCAGCTTTCACTGAGTGACCCGTGATGATTAATACAGGCTAAAATATGTAGGCTAGTGAAGTTCTGTTGTAAGTTCTATCTTAAACAAAAGCAAACAAACAAACAAACAACCCCTTTACTATTGTTTAGGAACTTCTTGAACTTTGAATTATGGCATTTATGATAACTTGTTTTAAACGGTAGCTCCTGCTTTATGGTAAGCTGTCATACTTGAGACTACTTTTGAGGATGGCTAGCCGTGTTTAACTGAGCATGCTCACAAACTTCTTGCCATATTTGGGAGAGTTGGGTCATTGGCTGTCTCTACTGTCATGCAAGATGTGGCTTTTTATGTCATACAGTCACTTCATATTGTTGTTACATCTTGTCTTTTTCTGTTGATGCCATTGTCACTGCTTGTTTCACTAGCACTTTCTCTTAGCTTTCAGCTTGGTATTGGATGACTGTTTCTATTGCTGTTCTTGTGACTGTACTGGGAAGAAAGGGATTTACAAATGGTCCTCCTTTTCATTCTAGCTTTTGGAAAAATATTACTTGCTACTTGTCAGTAAACTTTTTTGGGGAAGAAGTATAAGTAGATATTCAACAGGACTGGAAAGCTTTTCATGGAAGAGCAGAAATATGCAAACTCAACATTGGGGGGGGAAAAAAAGGATTTTGCTGGACAGAGTTGTTCTCACTATGGGTTATTAATTATTTGCTAGCTATTTTTGTTTTCTTTTTCTGAATGCTTGCTGATACTCTCAAAGAAGACACACGGCCCTCCCCACATTCATGACTAATGATCTGCTCCTGCATTTCTCTTCAGCTGTGTGAGCTCTTGTGACTTTAGTGAGATCTACTAATGTGATCAGGGCTGCAGATCAAATCCTAAGCTTTTAAGAAAAATAAAATTACTGTATAAGTACTTGTAAGGTTGAATTGTAAGATGCTTGCCTGTGACAAGTGTAGTGATGAATTTCCAAAAGCAGAGTAGTTTAGCACAAGTTGTCTGATATTCCTGTCATGGAATTAACCTGGTTTTGTATGTGTGTTAAATTTTAGGCATGTGACACAAGCGGACCTCAAGAGCTCTACGTTTTGGCTCCGAGCAAGTTTTGGTGCTACTGTCTTTGCAGTTTTGGGTTTTGCTATGTACAAAGCATTATTAAAGCAACGATGATCTGAGAAGAAGCACACCTGGCCCTACCAAATAAAAAAAAAAAACTTTTATGTACATTCTGAATGCTTTAAATTCTGCTAGAAATATTTATATATGCAGAGTTACTTTATTAATATTTGTAATTCATGCATAAGATTATTTTAAATTATAGCTCTAACTACAGTATTGCGTAATGCGTGGAAAAAAGAATTGCATCTTAACAGCCAGCTAAAATGGCTTAACTTGTGAGGCCAAAAGGGAATTTGTTGTAAATAACCTGTACATATTAAAGCAGTAAGACATTGCTTCCCAAAAAGCTATTCAAAAGATTGTTCTTAGATGTTTCACCATGGTGACACACTAGTGTATAGTTGAAATTCATTTTCGGTTGAGTAGGTTCAACTCAAGGATCATACTTCCTCAAGGATTGCTTATTTATTTCACATTCATCTGAAGTGACTTTATCTTTTTGGACTATAAGCTATACTGGGCAGAATTTGTGATTTTCATTCTTACCTATTCTTTTTAACTGATGAATAAATTTCCCCACTAACTATGTCTTTCAAGAAACAGTCACTGTTGCTGTCCTGGCCTATGATTTTGTATGTTACATGATCAGTGACATATTTAGCAGTCTGATATTTCTTTTAAAGGAAAAACGTGAACTTCAAAAACTGCCAGATCAACTTCATATGCTGTGTGTAATTCGTGTTTTTCATTTTCCACTATGTTGTGTTTTATAACCCTTATGAATCAGATGAGCAAATTTGTATATGTAAATGTTTATAATTCAAAAAGTGTTGCAGTTTAATTTCTCACATCTGTCAGTCATACCTGTTGAAAGCTGTGTATAAGATAAAACTAAAATAGTACACAGTGCCTATTCTACTGTAGTATATTAGTTGCATGGATCACAGTGCATTCTGTAACTGGCTAGAATTACCTATAGACACAGCTTTTTTAATGATCAAGTAAATCAAACATTAATTCCTCATGACAAACCTATTTTTCCATTGCTGGCCTTTTCAAGTATTTCAATAAAATAACTGTGTACTGTGTTTGTGTTTATCTTTTTCTTTTTTTTTCTTTCCCCTTCCCCTGCCCTGAAAGGTGGTCCTTATAAAACCTTGTCCTTTATCCAAGAGAATACTGTCAGCGCCTTCAGTTGTTGGAGCTTAAATGTCTTAGCTGTGTAGTTTCTTTGATTTGTCTTATGACTGTGCTGCCTCCAGTAGAGGTTTATTTCTGATTTTTATCAGAAGACAAAAGTGACTTTTGTGATATTTTAAAGCAGAAACATAGTCAACCGTGAACTTTGTGTTTACTGTCAAGGACAAAATAGAGCGGGAGAAGAAAGTAAATAGTTCAGTGGGTTGTTTGGGAAAGCTAATGCCTGTCTATTATGCTGACCTTCCAGAAAAGTGAGGCAAGAGGAGGTGAATGAGAAAGTTTTATCAACAGAAGATTAGAAAGCTCCCAATCTGCAAACTATTACACTCTACCTAGAAAATTACTAATTTTCTGAAAGTTTTTGAAGAAAAGAGGGCTAACGCTTTTCTGGGGAGGCATGCATGCTGTTACATAAAATCTTACCATTTTCCCTGGGAAAGTGATCGTTAAGAGACCTTCTCTGTATCCTCCTCCCACTAGGTAACTGGAGACCACAGAAATTAGATTCCCCCACATTAACCTTCGGAGAAGTTCTCTCCGCCTCTCTCTTTATTTCCTGTTCTAGCTCCCTACCCATCTCGGTGGCCTTCTGCTAGTGGACTCGCTCAGTATGTCAATGTCTGTCTTACGCTGGGAAGCCTGAAACCGGACATACGATACAGTGCGGTCTCACAAGTGCCAGTTATTGAACGTGACTGTGGACAGTGCTTGCGGAAGGTTTGTCAGGTAGTTGAACACTATTTCCTACTCTTTTTCTGTGAGATGTCTTCTGACATCCATGATGCAGAAAATAAATGTTACGTAGAGCTTTTGAACCGATGACCTGAGCAGGCAAATGTTTCCCTGTTCCTGAATTTTCACAGTACTTCTCATGAGCTTGTGGTGCCGTGCAGCAATGGCACATGAAAGCTGAAAAGTGCACGATGTGTTCTCAAGAGCTGACAGATCACTTGTTTTGTGGCTGGTTTTTTTCTGTTGTTTAGGTACAACATACCTGCCTTGGTAGAGGGAGACCAGATTGTGATAGAAAATGAAAAGGAAGACCACTGTGACAGTGGAACTTAATCTGCAGGGATCCTTGACTGCTCATCTGGGCCTGTTGATCTTTTAACATAAAAGCAAGCAGGGAAGACTAGGTATTTACATGCCTTGAGACTTGTTTGTTTGTTTTCCTAATAGGAAACTCTAACTTAGTAGACCTTAACGCTGCTGATTATTACTACCACCACCACCCTCAATGCACTTCTCTCAATGCACTTCTGAAAGGGTATTTCAGGACTTAATTTCTCACAAATTTATCTCAGACTGCCAATGTACTGATGCTAAAGTGCTTTTTGAGAGACTGAGGGCTCTGCAGCACTGCCTGGCATATCTCTGAGGTCGGAGTTCTGGGGAGGGTCTGCTCTTTTAAACCAGTCAGTGGCTGTTGGCTCCAAAACACTTCTAAATATCCAATACCACGCTCTGGATTTACAGTTAGGATTCCCACTCACCTTCCATAAGTACCCTCTCATAGAAATCTCTTAAGTATTATATTAATGACACTGCTCATCATCTGTGCCAAGTACCAGAGCGTTGTAACTGCCGTTCCAGTGAGCAGCTTCTGTTTTATTATGCAGTTTGCGAACCTGTCTGTATTGAGCCTGTTGCTGTATTTTTCTGTGGCGGAGACTGGTGTGGACGCTACCGATGGACCTGGAGCAGCTGGCCTCCCGCGTGGGATGGGCCGTGGGCACAGCACCGCCACAGTGGCGTGGCTCCACGTGCTGGGCGTGCAGAAGGAAACGCTGGCTCTGGCGTGCTGGTCTAGACCTTCCGCGCAGCAGCCAACCATCCAGAGCTTTTTCGGGCTCAGCTAATAGAATAGTTGGTTTTCCGTAAAGGGCTGCCGCTAGGGTTGCGAGGTTGCTACCACTTCAGGAAAATGCGTTCGTTGTTTGGTGAATATTTTCACGTTAATTAAACGTGCTTTATACTCACCACCCAACAAGCATTAGAAGAGACGCGTTTCTGTGGAAATACGACAACAGCACCTTGTGAGGCGGCCCGCGGTTCCTGGCACTGTCCTG